AGAAGCGCGGGAGGGTGAGAGAATTCACCAGAGCCAGAGCGGGGAGCAGAGCAGGCAGAAGGACCGAAGTACACTGCTGAGGGGAGCAGCGGGCGGCAGGAGAGGTCTGCGCGCCATGTGGGACCCTCCTCTGGTGGCCGGGATCGAACCGGCGCCGCAGAGGCCGCGGGCAGCTTTGCAACCCAGCGCTCAACCGCTGCGCCACCAGGGAGGCCCTGGCTTCTTAATATTGGTGAAGTATCTCTCGTAGCATCCAGGAGAGGATGATGCCTCGAAAGTAATTTTTTTGAGATCTTGTGCATCTAAAAATACTTGGTTTGTGCTTATCCAGGTAAAAATGGGTTACTCATTGTCCTTTAGATTTCCCAAGGCTTTGTCCTGTGTCTCTTAACTTCTGTCACCGTGAAGGCCACAGCCATTTTAAGTCCTGCACATCTGTCTGTGACCTGCTTCTAGCATCGGGACACTTTGGGTTTCCAATATTCTGAACTTCAACAATCATATGACTCAGAAGAAGCAGAAGAAGGCTATTTCTCCCGCCCCCCCCCCCATTTTGCTGAGTGTTCTGTGGGGCCTTTCAACATATATTCGTCTGTCGTGAAGATAATTTTTGGATCAATTCATTGATGATTTCCCCATTCCTTACATGCTGTTTACTCTGATCACCCTTTTGGGGGTTTCCATTACTTAATCAATGGGTTTTCTGGGTGTTCCTCTAAATTTTAAATCTTACCTCTCCTATTTCCCATTTCTTAACGATTTATTCAAGTTTATCTTCCAAACCCTCTTCTGAGGGTTTATTTTCCCTTTTTCATTTCTGCTGCCTTGTTTCAAATTTCTAAGAATGCTTTGTGTTTGTTCTCTGACTGTTTACATAAGTCCTGCTTTCATGGATTGCAACATCTTTAATTTCTCTGATGAGAAATTATGAGAGTTATGATGACATGTCCTTCTCTCTGCATAGTCCCTATTTCCTCCAAGATGCTTTTAAAAAAATCTGCCAGGGCTTTAGATTTCATGGCACCAGCTTGCCGAGATGCTGGGTCAGCTTTGACTGCCTGTGAGAGGATTAAAGCTCTGCATGTGTGTGGGGCCTGCCTGGCCTCCCCTCTAGGGTGCTCTGTCTGTTTAGTCGGGGAGTGGTAGATGACAGGATGCTCAGGTGTTCCCCTTGGCCCGGTCTGATGCCCTAAGCAAGACCCTTCCACCCTTGTCTGTGTGTGTTCCAAAATTCCAGGACGGGGTATGGTGGTCATAACACCCAATATCCTTATGTTCATTTAATTCCTCTGTTCCATTTTGGCACTTTTGTCCTTTCACACTGTGCTGCCTCTCAGTCTGAGAGGCTTCCTTTTACCTTCTTCAGACAATGCAGGTCTTCCTCATTCTCCTAAAGTAGAATGTTCCTATTTGGTATGATCTAGTAGGTTATTTTCAGGGTCTGGGAATGCTATTACTATTAATTTATATGGAAAAATCTTGAACTTTCCTGACTCACCAAATAACCTACCAAATCATACCAAATAGGAGTGTTCAGGGAGTGGAGAAAACTGCAAACATAGAGTCTTTTGTCAGGAGGGGAAGGCTGCACAAAGCTAGGAGGGGTTCTGGGTGTAAGCACTTCTTAGGCAGACTTTTCCCTAGTCATCCTTACTTTAACTCCATTCACACCCATCTTGTGCCACCCATTCCTAAACCTTCTGGAGAGTTCAGAGTTTGTTCTTGGCTTTCCTTCCTGGTTACCATTTCAAGCTTTCTTTTTCTCAGATCTGCTATAATAATTATGCTGCTGTTACTTCCTACCTGCTTTCCCCATCCCCGCCAATGTCTGCCTTACAGCAAATTATTATTTCAGGAGGCTCCAGAAGTGAGAGGCAATACATGCTGTCACCCCACCACCTTCAGAAACCGTGGCCCCTTAAGCAGTCTTTAGTCTCTTTACTCACAGACACACCTCCATCCAAGAGTTCTCTGATCTTCCCTAGCATCCTTCGTTTATTGTTTCTTCCACTCAACACCTCGATCCCCACCCACCCTCCTACATACTTAAGCCACCTCTGTCAGAATCCTATGTAGCAAGGAAAATAGGGACTGTGGCTATGGTAAGATTTTTTTTTGGGAAAGAGAACTGTATCTATATGGAAGATACTTCCACAGGGGTTTGGCATCAAGTCTGTCAGGGCGAGACTTCCTTCAGTGAGCTCCTAAACAGTCATTGACTACTTGAGAAATCAGCTAAGGGATTGTTTTGCAATTAGAATGTCATGGGACACAGCTGAACCCCTTGGGGAGGCTGCACTCATAGGGAGGTCTGTGCATTGTTTCTCCTTGTGGGTGGAGAGGAGTGTGTGCCAATGCAGAAGACCTTGACCCAGGGCAGGTGCCTTGTCCAGGGTTACCACTCGATACGTAGTACAGTGCATAAGCCTAAGAGGCCATCAGTGGTTGCAGGCTGGGGCCACCCAGCAGGGCTCAGGGAGAAGGCAGAGAATTGTGTTACCTTGAAGGTTGGTTGGGTAGACTCCTTGCGGCTAGAGTGCAGTGGGAGGTGGATGGGTGACTAGCAAGTCCGTGCAAGGCCAGCTCCGTCCTTAATGAAGTGACTGATTGTAACATGTGGTGGGACTAGAGGAATACTCTGAATCATGATTTGGTCAGAATGCAAATCTCTTAAATGTCATCCACACAATATGCCTGGAAGGAGAATGACTCTTTTCTGCCAAGAAAAGACCCCCTAGAAGGATATTACCCAGTGGGCCAGACAGAACCCAACCCACAAGCTGGGTGGCTCCCCAGAGAACCAGTGCCAGGAGGAAGAGGACAGTTAGGGCTTTAGTTAGATACCCAGAAGAGAGCAAACGTCCAGGCCAGTATGCAGTTCACCAGAACATGCAACCCACAATGCCTGTTTTAAGTCCTCCTTGGTTGCCTGCAAAGACAATTTTTTTTCCTACTCAAAATTAATTCCGTGAGAAATGGCGGCTCTTTGTTTTCCGACCGGGATGTCTTTGCCCCATCCATTCCTTCTCTTCGCATCCTCAGGGGTGGGCGTGCTAAGGCTGCCCTCCTTCTCTAGCCCCCCCCCCCAGCACCCCAGCAGGCCTGGAGGCTGACAAACTCCAAAGTCCATTAAAGCAAATGAGCCAGGGGTTGCAGGCACTCTCACCCCCCTCAATTTCCTGGGATCAGGGGCTGCTGGCAAGGGTCCGGGAAGCAGCCTGCAGCGCTTGGTTCCTAAGAGGCAGGAAACTACGCACTGGCCTTTCTGGGATGGTGACCTAGGCCAGGAGAAGGGAGAATGGGAGAATGGGGCGGGGCGGGGCGGGGCGGGGGAGGGGGGTTGGAGGGCAGTCCAGGGGATAAGGACTGGGGCGCCCGTGAGAGTCAAGGGCAAGTTGGCAGGTCTGGGGAGACCACAGCAGGACGCAGTTTCTCTGGGAGGCCCAGACAGCGGGTGGGTGGGGCGCGGTGGGCGGGGTCCTAACAGCTGGTGGCATTTGAAGCCTCCGGTGCCGCGGTGCGCGAAGGGCAGCCTGGAGAAGTTGGCAGCAGGCCGAGGGCGGAGGGGGGGCGAGGAGGAAGAGACCCCGCGTTCTCTGTCTAGCGACGCCGGCTGCCCCAGCACGTAGTGCACTCCCGCAGGCGCGGGGCGCGGTGGGCACGTCACCCTCGCCCCTGTGCAGCCACCGTCCCGGGGACAGTCCAGCTCCCGCAGCCCGGACTCCAGAGCAGCTCAGTCTGGCCCGGTTCCCGTCCAGCAGGAGCCAGTCGGGGAAGCTCCGGGTCTCACCAGCGCATCGGCCCCGCCAGCGGCGATCTCGCCACCGCTCGGCCGCGCGGAGGGCCCGGGGCTAGCACAGGGGAGCGTGGAGAGGGCGAGCGAGCGATCGCAGCGGCCTGAGCCCAGGGCGCGGCCGCCCGGGCTGCGGTGTGGGGCGCAGGGAGCGGTTCCGCCCCCAGACGAGGCCCGCGGCCCGGCGCGCAGCCGGCGCGGACACGCCTCCTCGACGTGCAACCCTCACTCCGCGGGGCAAAGAGGAGCAGCGGCGAGCGCCTCCGGGGCGCACCCACCCACGGAGCCCTTCCCGGGCGAGGCTGGAGGGACAAAGGCGCGCCCTCGGGAGCGCTCGCCCGCGCGCCGGGTCCAAGGCTGTCACGGTACAAAAGCCTTGGCAGGAAAATGCCCCGCGGGGTCCCCGCTGCGGGGGAGGGGGGCGGGGACCGGCCCCCGCGACCACGCCCCGGCCTGCCACCCTCGGACGTCGTGCGTCAGCGTGCCCAGCTCCGGCTCCAATTTCCGCCCCTCCTCCCGCCGGCCAAGGTGTCACGCCCATTGGCGCACGTCGGTCCCGAGACCGGTGAGGCCCCTTCGGCGGCCCGGATTGGCCCGGTCCCGCACCCACGGGCCAATGGCGCGCGCCCCGGCGCCCGGCCACGCCCCCTCCCCAGGAGCGGGCGCGCGGCCGCGCTCCCCGGCCGGTGCGCGCTCCGGGGTCCCCGCCCCCCGAGCGCGCGCAGCGCCCCGCGGCCGCCGCCTGTAACCTGCGCCGCCAGGATGTGGCTGGGGGCTGACGTCGGGTCCAGATGTGGCCCCGGCCCCGCCCACCCCCGGAGCCGGGCCGCCCACACCGAGCCGCGGCGCGCACGGCGGCTGTCCCGCCTGCTACAATGCGCGGCGAGGCTGCGGCCGCCACTCGGCGCGGGCGTCCTTAGCGTCGCCGCTCCGCATCCCTAGGGCCGGCCGCCCCTGACGCCGCGCGGGGCCCCCACGCGCCCGCGCCCCCCATGCGCTCACTCCTCGGGGCCGGGTCGGGCGGGCGCCTCGGGGACGCGGAGCCGCGCGGGTGACGGCAGAGGCGGCTGCGCGCCCAGCCCAGCCCGCGGAGAGGGCGCTGCGCCCCCGCCCCCCGTCCGCTCTCCGGAGGCCGTGGGCGCGGATGCGCCGCTGACGACGCGCGGCGAGGAGCAGTGTCGCCGGCCCGCTGGCCGCCGCGCGCAGCATGGCAGCCGCCGCCTATGTGGACCACTTCGCCGCCGAGTGCCTCGTGTCCATGTCCAGCCGCGCGGTCGTGCACGGGCCGCGGGGGGAGGCCGAGCCCGGCCCCGAGGGCGCGGCCGCCGCGGTGGCCGGCGCGCTGCCCCGCGTGGAGGAGCGCCGCGAGGGCAAGGACAGCGCCTCGCTCTTCGTGGTGGCCCGGATCCTGGCGGACCTCAACCAGCAGGCGCCCGCGCCCGCCCCGGCGGAGCGCAGGGAGGGCGCCGCGGCCCGGAAGGCGAGGACCCCCTGCCGCCTGCCGCCCGCGCCGCCGCCCGCGCCCGCGCCCGCCTGCCCCGGCGGCCAGGGCGCCGCGGCCGCGCCCCTCAGCCCCGCGTGGAGCGAGCCCGAGGCGGGGCTGGAGCCCGAGCGGGAGCCGGGGGCGGCGGGGGGCGGCGAGCCCGGCCTGAGACAAAGGGGCCGGCGGGGCCGCAGCCGCGGCGACCTGGAGTCCCCGCAGCGGAAGCACAAGTGCCACTACTCGGGCTGCGAGAAAGTTTACGGGAAATCCTCGCACCTCAAGGCGCACCTGAGAACTCACACAGGTCAGTGCTGCGGCGCGGGCGCCCCGCGCGCGCGGACCCCGGCCGGCCCCGCGCCCCACCGCGCCCCCGGGGCGGCGGCGGGCCCCGCGGGGCTCCCCCTTCCCCGCCGACCTCGCGCGGCGCGAGGCGGGTCCCCGCGCTCCGAGCCGGCGCCCGCCCGGCGACCGCGCCCCCGCCGGGCACGCCCCCTCCCCGGGCGCTCGGGCGGGGCGCGGGGGCGGATGTCGTCATCGGGGCTGGGGGCGGGGACCCCGCCCGGGCCGGGGGGCGGCGCGGGCAGGTGCCGGCGGGCGGGGCGGGGGCCGTGGGCGCCGCCGGGGGCGCCTCGGGGCGGGGGGGGCCGCTCCCCGGCCGGCCCCGGCGCGCGCGCGGAGGGGAGGGGCCGCCGGGCCGGGCGCGCGGGCGAAGTTCACGCGGGGACAGGGCTCGCTCCGGCCGCGCGGCGCCTTCCTCGCTCGCCCCTTCCTGTAATTTTTCCAGCGCTCTAAGGTTTAATTTGTGGAAACCGGAGCCAGAGGCGGCCAGCGGGGCAGGGGTGAGGGGGGCGGTCCCCGTTCCCGCCGGGCTCTCTTTGTGGGAGCCCCGCCCTGCGGGCCGGCGGGGGCGCGCCCGGCCGGGGGGCTCCGTGGCCCGGCGGCGCTTTCCCCGCGGAGCCGCCCCACGCGCGTCGCCCGCGGGCCCCTTCCCGGCCCGACGCTCACCTGCCGGGGCTGCGCGCGGGCGGACGCACCTGCCCGGGCGGGGGGCGGGCGGGAGGCCCGGGCCGGCGGCCCCCGCCTTTCCCCGGGGCGGCGTTTCCCTCCTGGCCGCTGGGACCTTGTCGTTGTCGCTTGTGCGCTTGTTTTTGCTGCTTCAGCGCAGACCTGGAAACCACATTTTAACGCGTGGCAGACCCGACCCCTTTTTCAGTTCGATTTACCGAATTGTGCATGTCCTCGGCACCCACCCCCTCTGCTCTGGGACTCTTCAGTCTCCCGGGTTTGGGGCAGGGTCCAGACCCCTATACTTAGGCTGTTACCTTGTTCCCAAAGGTTTAATAGATTACGAGCAGATTAAAAGGCCGACTTGAAAACAAAAACTAAAAAAAACTGCAGCTTTCAAGACCGTAAAGCCGAAGGGCCTTTCCCTCCCTTCAATTTAAGCGGGTGGCAGAGATCGGCCGGTGTCCAGGCCCCCGAATCTCAGGGGACCCCTGCCTAGGAGGCTGGACCCGCTTTTCTGGGCCGCTGTGGTGGCCCCAAATCACGTGGCAGGCTGTGGGGTCGAGGGTGAAGGCGGGGCCATTTCTAGGCGTTCTGGTCAGAATTAGGGGTTTGTGTACCCAGGAGAGGGGTGGGCTTAGGAGAGGGGTGTTGGCTCAGCTGGGGAACATGGCTGCGAGGGTGGGTGTGGTCCTGCGGGAGGGCCCGGACAGAGATCCCAGCCTTTGGGCGCTGAGTACCCACTTGGGGCGTGACCGGTCGAGGACCACTTTGGGGGGGGCGGGGCCGGTACTGGGAGGGAAAATGAGTGGAAAATCTCTCTGCAGTTAGTTTCACAGCAATGTGGCCGCTGGGGTTTTAGAATCGCAGAGGGCTTGGTGGAGGGGCGGGTTCCCTGTGCCGAGCCAGGTGGGCTGGCCTGGGCCTGATCCAGGCTCTGGGTTTTCAGCCATCCCCTTGGCAGGAGGGGGCGAAGGAGCTGGGAAGTGGGGCCTGCCTCCCTCGGTGTGAGGGGCTTCCGTTTCTCTGGGGTGCCTGGGAACCTAGACAGTGAATAAGCGGGTGGAGCTAAGACTGCAGTGTGCTTTACCTCTTTAGCCGTTATTAGAACTGGAGTCATTCTCTCCCCGCCCCATCCCCGAGGTGTACGAAAATTTGAGGCCCTAACTCTAGAGTGGGTGCAGACCTCAGAGCTAGGAGGGCACAGGGTTCCCTTGGGAAATGCAGATTTCCAGGTTCTAGATGCCCCCCTTTAACCCTGCACTGCCATTTAAATGCTGTCCCAGGTGACTTTCACCGTCAACCAAGAACCTGCCCCTGGAGGAAACCTCTTTCACGCTCTGACCCAGGGCAACTCTAGGGCACCCACTTCCACCCCAGCCCAGGTGTGCAGGGCATAAGTACTGTAAATGGTGTTCAGAAGACAGACTGGCCCTGGGGAGACCGAGAGGCCGCACCAGGCTGGGATGGCTGAAGCTTCAGCCCTGCTCTCAGGTGGCTGAGGTTTGCTTTGTGGGCTTCTAGCAGGTTGTGGGGGAGGAGGGATCTGTGCAGGCAGTGGCTCAAATCACCCCAGGCCTTCTATTCCACTAGTAACCACCCTCCCCCACCCACGGGGATTTCATGGCGGAGGCTGAGTAGCAAAACCACTTTAATGGGTGGGGAAATCTGGTAAAGGGATCAAATATACGGTGTATGGAAACTAGACTTCTGGTGGCGAACATAGTGTCATATATGCAGATGCAGATTTTAATTTATAAAGTTGTATACCTGAACCTTACATGTTAATAATTAAAAAAAGAAGTAGAAGCCTTTTATATGGCAATGGTAATAATAAAAAGCAATTCTATAGAAAAACGAAACAAAAAACTCACTTTAACCGAAGAGGTTGTCGATGACTTGCTCTGTCTAATCAGGGTCAGACAGATTTGTGACCTGGGATTGGCCCCAGACCTCTCTGAAGTGTGTTGTCTCCCCACACCCCCCTGGAGAGTCTGTGGCAAATGAGGGCGTGTGTGTGTGTGTGTGTGTGTGTGTGTGTGTGTTTGTTTGTGTGTGTGCTGCCTGCAGAGAGCTACCTGCCCGGGCTAGCTGTATGGCAGTCTGGTCCTCCCCTCCCATCCCCAGGTGTCATCTTGGGCACTGATCACCCTCTGTCACATTTAGTAACTAGTTGAGGTTATGGCAACTGCATGATAAAGTGATTCAAGACACTTAATATTTGGTTAACCAGAACTACCCAGCCCAGACCTGGAAAGTTTGCTAAGATGTCTTTGGGGAGAAGCAAGGCCAGGCACAGATTTCATGTGAAAAATTTGGGGATTACAGAAGGAAGGCCCTGGGGGGCATCTGAGGAAGACACCCCATGACTCCCATGAGCATGGTCACTCAGCCCCGGCAGGGACGCCCCAGTGCATGCCTACCTATTTGTTCCCACAAATAATTGTTTTCAGAATGCCTGTCTACTCCGTTTCCCCTCCAGCCCCAGTAGCTGAAGCCTCTTGTGCACTGCCTGGGCCATGTCCCTCTCAGACCCCTGTGCAGACCCCAAGGCTCATCCTGGTCACCTGGCCCTGTTTGGGATCAGGTGGCGACTAGAACAAGATTGTATTCTCTTAGGCAGTTCTTGTGATAATTTGGGTGAGGTTAGTTTGAAACGCATCTCTTCCCCACTGAACATGGGGTTTGATCCTGAATGGCATTATTGAATGGGTATTTAGCCTCCCACAGCCCCTCTCCAGCACCAGCTCTGCCTGCAGAACCTGGTTCTCTAGCACACTGTTCTCCCCGACCCCTTGCAGGTGCTCCCTGGTGCAGCTGCCGGGAGAGGCAGCCTGTCAGAGCTGGGGCTGAGTGGCCGGGATCTCCTTCCACACACGGCGAAGCCAGGCTAGGCTGGCTGTGGGCCAGCACTTTGTCCCAGACACATCCAGGCCGGCGGCCGGCCGCTCCCGTCCCTGCACCCCCACAGCCCAGCCTGCCAGGGGACCTTGTTGTGAAACTCTTCAAAGAATGCAGAAGCATATAGACAGAGTGTGCAAACTTTCTCCTTCCCCTGCTAACCCTCTTCCCCTGGGTTGGTGTGTCTCTTTCCAGACCCCTCTGATGGGTTTGCACCTCAGCACTCATATAGACACGTACAAAATACACGTGCCGGATCCTCCAAATCACACTCTGCCATAGGCTTTGTGTTGTGTGTTTGCTTAGCGAGCATATTCCTCCTTTTCCTGGCTTAGTTGTGCTCCAGGTTGTGGGATGTGGCTCTTCTGTCATTATTGTCCCTTGCCTGTTGGAAGGACAGCTTGGGTGTCTTGTTTTTTGCTGTTTCTAGCCTGCATCAGTGGCCTCTGGGTGTGTCCTGGTCCAGAGGAGTTGGTATTTCTGTAGGAATGAGACCAGGCAGTGGTGTTGACTGTAGTGTAGGCAGCATTTAAATCAGATGCAGAGTTACTGTGTTGATTTAAAATACCCATTATGTGTTTTTTAGGGAAATAGACCAAGACATTCTGCTGTGCTGCTGTGTTACACCCTGTCTTTCCTCTTTGACTTCTACTTCTCCTTTTGCACGTGTGAGAGCATCACATGAGCTTGTGAAACAACAACACTGCTGTCACTCTCACCTCAAGGCGGCCTGCCCTCCATCTTCATGCCCGGGACAGCTCTCAGACCTCAAGGCGGTCAGGCCTGCTCCCCCACCACAATCCTTCCTCCACTGACTGACAGAGGGCTCTGGCCCCCCTGTGTGCATAGGCGGTAGGACCACACTTCACTTAACCCTGTGTCTGGGGCTTCCGATCTCTGGGATACAGTAGAGCTGGGGGCTCTGCCCTTTCTGAGTAGGTGTCTTGAAGTTCACTCATTGAAATGGGCCGGGGACAGCCGCACACTCGTAGGCCTTTTTTGTTCTGACTTTATTCTGAACCCAGTTGGTTGGTTGAGACCGAGATAGAGTAAATCAAAAGTTGGAAGGCCAGGGAGGTTGGTAATGGCTAAAAGAAAGGGAAGAAACAAGCCAACAAGTTACTGATATGTCTGCATGTATGTGCTTACTTCAATCTATAACTCAAGAAACCCCACAGAATGTGGCAGGCCTGGAACAAATGGGCCATTTGTGGATGGCCTGTCATCTCCCCAGGAGTCCCTGTGGGCTGCGTTCTGTCACAACTGACATCCATTCAAACTAAGATCTTGACATGCTAGGGTGCTGTTAATTTGTGCCTGGTTTGTGATTGAGGAAGGCAGTCAAAATAGTTTTTAAAATAAAAACTTCTAGAATGGTACACTCAGTGCTTATGGTTG